TCCGCGAGGGCCGTGGTCGCCCCGCCCCGCCCCCTCCAAGAGGTCACACCCCTCGGTCCTCTGACGGCTGCAGGAAGCGCCCGGGAGGGGCCGAGAACCCCACGTGGCTCGGGGCGGGGGACGGCGGACGGCTGTCGTCACCGTGGCGTGGCCTCTAACAGACTGTAGCAAATACTACTCTTCTTTTTTCAAAGCCGTTTTTCCCATACCCTGTGTTCTGATCGTAGTGTATTTTCTCCCATGACTTTACAGCAGTTACAGTATGCCTTTTACTAGCTTCGGTGTTAAGCCGGTAACAGTAACATTGTTGAGACTTGTCAATGTGTTTTGGGGTCATAATCTAAGGTCATATTTTGCTTAAGATTTTCCTTAAAGTTGCTCATACCATTTAAGAGTAGCAAACGGTTAAAATACAGTGTAGTAAACTTCTTCGCGACCCCTTTTAGGGAAAAAAAAAGGATTTGGGTCATAATCAAATAAACCCTTGCTTAGTAACAGGGTGAACAGTAATAGTTCTTTAATACTTGTAGGTAACTGATCCACCAAGCATCTTTCAGTGTTGGCTAATCACTCTGCTTTGGGCCTAATTCAAAGCAGCTTTAAGTAATTACATTTTCTATGGCTTGCCATATCTTCATCTTGCCTCTGCCAATTGAAAATGATTTTTAAAAGGGTATTTTAGAAAATGATTAAGCGAGGGTATCATTTGGATTGAGAACCCAAGTGAAATGGGACTTCAGTGTGCCAGGCACTATTCTAATATTTGCAGTATTTAATGTGATTCCAGCACCCACATTTTACAGATGGAAAACCTGCAGGCAACCGATAGTTTATGCATAATAAACAAATGCAGACACATGTTCTTTTTTAAAGATGCACTTTTTTTTTGCACAAAAGTAGTGAAATAAAATATATACGCTTGCTTTTTTTCTCTTAATACATACTGGAGCTCTTGTCTGTAAGTACATTACAGCCCAGCAGAGCAGTACTGAAGCCTACATAATCTGACCGGGGGCTAGGCCTAACTTTTACCAGCAGGTCTAGGCAGCCTGGTCTAATGGAAATAGCAGTGGTGTTGGAGTCAAAGAATAATGACTCAGTCCACTCTGCTGCTCACTGATCTGCGGTGGTCAGCGTTCTTGGCTTCTCAGTGCACCTGTTACGTGGTTGTGCACATGACCCCTACTTAGCACCCACCTCACTATTCTAATATGGAAAGATACGGGGGCACACCCAATTATCTAGTTAAGACCCTGTTTCTACAGGCTTTTTGGAGAGCACCTGCCCTCAATTGGTATGCCTTGTGATGCTAACTTGACTCAGTAAAGCAAATAGACTCATTGGTATCTTTTTATTTGTAAAAATTTTGAAATAGGTAATACATGCACATAGTAAAAAAAATCGTACAGAAGTTATACAGTCAAATGTTACTGTTTTTTCAGCTGTTTAGAGAAAGTCTAAACAATATGCCAGGAAAATTAAGGAAACAAAAGGTATTTCTGCTACAGCTCCCATGATTCCAAATCCAGTGCTACTGCAATATATACTCTCTCACTTGGTGTGAAGGAAAGCATAAATAATCTTCCCTCACTAGTTTTTGTGAATCCACATTTTACAGGCAATATTCATTTTCAGTATTTCTGTGTCTTCATAGGTAACATGGACACAACATCAGGCTAAGAGAAGAGATGGAATCTGTTCTCAGCAATTTTATTTATTAGCTGCATAATCTTGGAAAACATCACCCTTGAGCTCATTATCCTCCTGAAAAATATCTGATAACACCTGGTTCACAGAACTGACCATCAGGATTCAATGAGACAATGTACCTGAAGATGCAGACCATTCTTACAAATGTTAGTGCTCGTTATAATTAGAAAATAATCATTAGCTCTTTCAAAAAGCAAGAAAGAATTCCCAGGGTGTAGCTCAGCGGTAGAGTGTGTGCTTAGCATGCACAAGGGCCTGGGTTCAACCCGCAGTACCTCCGTTAAAATAAATAAGTAAACCTAATTACCTGCCCCACCAAGGGAAAAAAATGATAATAAAAAAATAAAATCAAAGAATTAGAACTAAAAACAAGAAAGAAAAACCTGTTCAAAACATAAAGACATTTACTTTACCAATGGTCATTATTCATCCTAACAATGAGTACTGTTTGGTCCACTTCATGAACTACAGATTCACCATACATATGATTTTGTGTGTATGTGTGTGTCCCATTAGTGGCAGGGACATTTGAATTATGGAGTTCAGTATGATGGTGGTAGTTGCAGAGGACCTGAGGTCAGTATTTACTCATCCATCCATCAGACATTCATTGAGCATCTCCTGTGTGCCAGGCACCTAGCTAGACACTGAGTAGACAGCACACAATCACTGTTGGATGGTGCATGTGGCAGAGCCCTGGAGAGGTTGGGAGAGGCAAGGCAGACAGTAAGGGATGATTCCACGGGGCGTGAGCGCTGGAACCAGGTAAGTGTACGGTAATTTTGAGCACTCAGGAGGGACCTGACCTGGGGGTGGGTGGGGCGGTGGATGAGGACAGCAGCCCAGAAAGCTTCTCAGAGAGAAAGGATCTCACCTGGTTGGATACAAACTCTGGGAGTCAGCCACTGGAAGGAAGCCATGGAGTGGGGGGGGGTATTCTGGATGAATTGCCCTAGAAAAGGTGAAAAGGAGAGTTTGCTCCTCCATGGATAGGAACAGAAAGCGCGATCTACCTGGGGCAAACCTGAACCCCGCCCCCTGCCCCTGAAGGAACCTGGGAAGAACACTGGGGCTTCTGAGACACATGGCCCTGGGTCCGAGTCTCGCATCCATTACTTACTGAATGTGTGGTTCTGGGCAAGTTTTTTGCCCTCTTTAAGTTTCTGCTCCATCCTCTATAAACGAGGATGATAAAAACCCGCCCCCTCAGACTGTTATGAGAATTAGATTAGAATCTCAAAGGCTGAACGTGCTTTTTTTTTGCACTAAGTTAAAACAACAATTGGCAGGGAGTTTTTGTTTTCTTCCTTATTGTCCCCCCTCCCTCCATTGTGTAGATGATATAGTGCTTTCAAAGTGAGAGAGCTCCGCACTCAGAAAGCCTTCACTCAGATCCCTGTTGGTTCCACAGCAGCTAGCGATGGGATGTTTGGCAAGTGATTTAACTGTTCTAAGCCTCAGTTTTCATATATATATAAAAGTGCAGATAATGATAATATCTACCCTGGGGGACTGCGGTGAAGATTAAATAAGACAATCAATGTAAAGCACTTAATCCAGTGTCTGGCACCTGGTAAGCATCCAACAAATCTTAATTGTTGCTTTTTATTCTGTTTTTTGTTATTACATCCTCATGAGGTGGACTCTTGTCGTAGATGGAGTTTCTTTACTAAGAAGATGCCATGGTAACCTTGCTCTGGGCTCTGTGTTTGACATCCCTGCGTTTTAGTTTTGCTTATTAATTTCCCTATCAGCTCCATTGTCAGAATCTTAAAGATGCCATATTTGAAATATTGTAAAGTTAGAAATGTTAGAGAAAACAGTTTTTTAAAACTAGGATTTAAAAAAAATAATAAAGGCAACTTAAACAGTCACTCCTAATTCTTTTTGTGTGTGTGTTTGTTTAGGGGGGAGGTAATTAAGTTTATTTACTAATTTTTAATTTTTTTTAATGGAGGTACTGAGGATTGAACCCAGGACCTAGTGTATGCTAAGCATGCACTCTACCGCTGAGCTATACCCTCCCCTAGTCACCTCTACTTCTAAAGTCCTGTCACATCCTTGTACTTCCTTTTAAGAAAAATATTTTAGTACAGTATCTTTTGATTTGCTGTGATGTCATCCCTGTTTTCCTGTACCATCTGCTTCTGGTATATCTACCAGTGAGCTGTTCTTGCTGCAAAAAGAACTTTGCAGATTTATGTTTTAAAGAGCCAACTATTTTACATGTAATGATTGTTACGGAAACAGCTTGCCACACAATCATCAATGAAAAGGGAAAACTAGGTCTCAACAACTGGGGAACTGCTAGAGGTTTTGTTTTGTTTTCACTCAAAATGAAAAAAGAATCTGAAAGCCATCATATGAATAAAACCAGTTAACAATCTCTCCATGAATCCGTGGACTCACAGGTGCCTAGCACATAGAGATGGACAATAAACACTTAATGACTGAATGAGTGAATGAATGTAATAGAGAGGAAATCTGGGACCGCAGTCTGCTACTCCTCAAGTCAGTTTCTTCCACTGACGCACGGATGCCACCTTCAGTGTGAGAATCAATCATAAAAACCTTCCTTGGGTGTTAAAAATCATCCCAATATTCATCTGTTTTCCCAGAGCCCTCCTAATGTGTCCTGGTCTTTTCTTTCTCAAGGTTGGAATTGCACTGTGTTTTCTTGTTTGGTTTTTTTTAGGATTGCCTAGCAGTGAGGGGCTCACCCAGGCCCTAGTGGGAGTGGGGGACATCCCGAGAGATTGTTGCCAGATGTCTGTTTAGCAAACAGAGGATGACATTTTTGTGTGGCGGACAAAGAGGAGTTGACCACACCCATACTGGGATTGGCTTAGTTGTGAGCAGGGAGAGGTGAGGGCTGAGGGGCTCATTGAGAACAAAGACAAGGTCCTGTTTCGTCCACCCACCCATGAATCCTCCTCTCATTCTGTAACTATAGCATTTGCTGAGCTCGCACCTATACCAGCATGCTCTGAATGTTTAGTGCGTGTTAGTTTTAATTCTGACACTTACCCTAAAGGGCTGGTGCCATTATCATCCTTGGTTTACAAATGAGAAAACAGATAACCACTTTTTAAGCATTGTTGCTCAGTGCTCTTGGAGAAGGAACCGACAGCCTTTTCCAGAGTCATGGAGATACTGTTCAAAGAAGACGATAATTTTCCAAATCGTTCTTGACACATGGAATCCTGATGCAATAGTAGTAACGCGAAACTGCGTCTAGTGCGGTGGAATTAGGGGAAGTGATGCTGTGTGACCCTTGTTAGGATGAAGTCAGGGCCAAAACGAGCAAAGTGCAGCGGCCTCCGGCGGCCTGGGGTTGGAGACTCCGAGGCTGATCAGGTCCGTCTTCTGAGTGAGCTCCGCGACCTTGGGCCTGGGGTCCTCGCATCAGTTTCCCCATCTGTGAGGTGACGGCCACGCAGCCTCGAGAGACCCTTCCAGAGTCCCAGACTAAACAGGGTGCCTCCCTTCAGTCTTCTTCTTCTTTTTTTTTTTTCCAATTATTTTTTTAAGCTTTTTTTTTTAGGAGGGAGGTAATTAAGTTTATTTCAATTTTTTTTTAGCTATTAAAAAAATTAGGTTTATTTATTTATTTTGTTTTGGGGGAGGGGGATCTTTAGGTTTATTTATTTAATTACTTTTAGAGGAGGCACTGGGGGTTGAGCCCCGGACCTGGTGCATGCTAAGCATGCACAAGTTTGAGCTATACCCTCCCCCTGGTAATTAAGTTTATTTATTTACTTACTTAATTTTTTTAATGGAGGTACTGGGGATTGAACCCAGGATCTCGTGAATCCTAAGTACTCTCTCTACCACTGAGCTATACCCTCTCCCTCACCCCCAAAAGGTACTCTTGATGTGGCCCTCTCCCCCCAGACTGTAAATTCCTTCAGGGCCACGAAGACTGGGGATGGTCCCTGCACCCACCAGGGCCTGAGTGAACCCCTCACTTCTAGTTAAATGTGACTGGTTCCTTAGAGCTCAACTCAGCCACCTTCTCAGGGAAGCCTCCTCTGACCCCCTCCCCACCCATCCTGTTGCTCTGTCTTCCCCCAAATCTAGGACAGTTTCCTTTGCATAATTTGTCATAGAAAAGTTTCTGTATTGTCTTGCTTCAAGGCACTTGTCTTAGTTTGTAAGGGACACTAAGCACCCCCCACCCCAATTCCATAGGCCCAATGGACAGCTAGTCCTCAAGAAGGCAAGGAGGTCCTACTGCATAGCACAGGGAACTATGTTCAGCGGCCTGTAGTAACCTGTAATGAAAAAGCACATATATGTATGCATAACTGAATCACTATGCTGTACACTAGAACTAACAAAACATTGTAAATCAGCTGTACTTCAATTTTAAAAATAATTAAAAAAAAGAAAGCAAGGAGGAATCTGAAATATGTGTTCCACCACTGGAGTCTCTGTGCCTGGGGAGTCTTCACGGAGACTACGGATCTTGAAAAGTGTAAAGGATTCCTACTGTCATTCGAGGCTGAGAAAACAATAATTCAAGACATGTATGTTCATGGTCTGTTTAAGAGAAAGTTGTGAGTGTTTCTAGAATTAGTGGTTCTCAACCAGGAGACGGGTGGCACTGTCTGGAGGCTTTATTTTTCAGTTTAATTTAAGCTTTTTTGTGTGAAGGGGAGGTAATTAATTAGGTTTATTTATTTCCTAGTTTTTTTTTTTAAATGGAGGTACTGGGGATTGAACCCAGGGCCTCCTGCATGCTAAGCACACTCTGCCACTGAGCTCTACGCTCCCCCTAGAGCCATTTTTGTACTGTCATGACCTGAGGATGCCGCAGGGATGGAGCATGCAGGGTCTAGGGATGCTGCGCCCATCTTGCAGTGCTCAGGACAGCCCCCTGCAGCAAAGGATTATCCAGCCCACCAAGTGGGGAAACGCTGTTTGAGAATAAACTAAACTGGATATGCAGTTTGAGGCTTTATCCTGAATGGCCCCGGGTTTATCTTTACGACCTCCACCACTGATGAGGACACACTTGTTCTAGTAAATACTTGTGGAATGGATTTAAGACTTGAAAAATCAGTTAAATTCAGGGCAAAGTTGAAGGACATTTTACCAGGTATAGAATGGAGGAGGAAATGCTCTTCATCTTCAGGCAGGCAGTAGCTAGCTAAAGAGACGTTCTCTCTAGATACTTGGCATCTTTAAAAGAGCCATCCTCTAAAAGGACCACTGTGTTTCCACAGAAGAACGAACATATTTGAAACTTATTTGACCAACAGACCCAAAGAGGCTGTGTCCTACAATAGAGGGTTTACAAAATTAGACTCCCTGTGAGATGGTATTAAGGTTCAGACACCCCTCACCTTGACGAACCTGATGAAAGTGTCATCTTTGATTGGTGATGTGACCATGCTTTTTATTTTTAAATTTTTTAAAGTTTTTTTCCTGTTTTTATCCTTATCTTTTTTTGTTTTTTAACTATGGGGGGATTAGGTTTATTTATTTGTTTGTTTATTTATGTATTTATTTAATGGAGGTACTGGGGATTGAACCCAGGACCTCATGCATGCTAAGCACATGCTCTACCACTGAGCCATACCCTACCCCAGGACCACGCTTTTTTTTAAAAGACTTTTTTTAGAGCAGTTTTTTTAGGTTCACAGCAAAACTGAGAAGGTGCAGAGACGCCGCATATACTTCCTACCCAGACACGTGCGCAGTTTTCCATAAAATGAACACGCCCCTCCCCCCTGAGATGATACTTTGGCTACAACTGAGTAACCTACATTAACACATTGTTATCACTCAAAGTCCATAGTTCATCTTAGGGTTCACTCGTGGCATTGTACACTCTATGGGTTTGGACAGATGTGTAATGACCTTTGTCCATCACTGTGCTAACATACAGAGTAGTTTCACTGCCCTAAAAATCCTGTGCTCCGCCTATTCGTCCCTCCCCCACCCCAACCCTGGACCACTGATGTTTTCATTGTCTCCATAGTTTTGCCTTTTCCAAAATGTCACATACTTGGAATCACACAATATGTAGCCTTTTCCAATTGGCTCCTCTCACTTACTTAGTAAATGCCTTTAAGATTCCTCCATGTCTTTTCATGGTTTGCTAGCTCATTTCTTTCAAGCCCTGAATAATATTTCCTTGTCTGAATGTAATAGTTTATTTATCCATTCACCATCCAAAGGACATCTTGGTTGCTTCCAAGTGGCAGCTAACCATGCTTTCTGGACTTTAAAAAATAATTCAAGTAAGAAATATTAGAGATATTTTAAAAATATGATATTTTGGGTCTCTGAAGTAAAAAAATACAAGTTAATACAAATAGATTTGGAAGGATATTCTGCTGAAACTCAGGAATATTTTGTGACTCTTTCAAAACAGAATACTTATGTCTAGAAACAACAGTTGCTTAAACAAGTAGCCCAAATTTTAGTAATTTGGCCCGAGTTTGTGTGCATGAAAGTACAAAGGCCAGTACTGTTACCTCCCTCAATTGTTTTGATAACGCTTAATAAACAGAAGTAGACTACAGTGGTAGGTTGTTACCTGACTCTAAGTTTGTTGACTATAAAAGAAATTCCAATGGGCAAGAAACACTGTTGAAGAGCATGAGAAGTGAGAGAGCATGGAGAGCCTGGACTCGCACGTTTGCTGGGACTGGGAATCACTGCGGTCTCTTTCTGAAAGCAATTGGACGGTCTCTTCCAGAATTTTAAGTAGCACACCCTTTGACAAAGCTTCTACAAATTGTCTTGTAAACACACACACACAATATGAATAAATAAAATAAAAAATACATGAGTGCTACAAAGAAAGATGCTGACACTCTATTAAGTGAAGAAAACAAGATGCAAATATTAGAAATAATCCCATTTAAATGTATACTTATGTCTGAATTAAAATACCTGGAAGGGGGCTCCCCAAATTGTGTTAAGTGATTACCTCCTGAGCAGTGGGATTGGGGGTTCTGTTAGTCTTCTGTTGCTGTGTGACAGATTCTCAGCGACTTTAACACCTTTGTATTATCTCGTGGTGTCTGTAGGTTAGAGATCAGCCACAGCGCACCTGGGCGCACAAGGCTGAAGTCGGTTTGTCAGCCAGGCTGAGTCCTCACCTGGAGAACTTCGGGAAGAATCTAGGTTCCAGCTCATTCAAGGTGCTAGCTGTGATATTGTGACTTACAAGAAGAAATACACATCTGGTCTCCATCTGTTTGTGGCACAGAGTTCCTAAAACCTTTGGAAAGTCCTAAGTGATGAGAGTGATTATAAGTGCCTTTCATTATGTAATAAGTGACTTTCGGACCCTACCTAAAGACAGGGTCTGTAGCCAGGAGACTCAACCACGTGATTGGAGGGTTGGACCTCTCAGTCCCACCCCCTGAGAGGGGCTGGAGGTTCAATCAGGTGTCAGTGACCAATGAGTTAAT